GCGAGCGATACGCAGCCGTTGATGGTTCATATACTCCCGATGAGATCTTCTCCTTGATGATGTGCACTACTTTATCTAAGGTGGCTGGCGGGATCGGAATATTGCGCTGAGACCATGGCGTGTGCGGAACCGTAGGAATCTTGTATGGCGGGAAGTAGGTCTCGTTGAGGTGCCCGCGCTCTGAGGCGTCCCATGCGAATGCAAGTTCGTGTACGCGCACGAGCCAGCGCACTAACTTGAGTTCTTCTGGCCATAGCCAATTTGCTGGGTCAAGGTCTAGTTTATCTGCGCACGCCTGGTGCGAACTCTGGGGGATGGGTGGGTAAGTCGGGTAATCCTGCTAACGGATCATCTGGCAATTGGCGCACTACCCTATACTCTGCGGGCATAGTGGTAGGTACCGTGCGTACTTTCTTCGCGACTGGTTTATAGACCAGTGCGTGAAGTACGGGATCATAATAATAAAAGGAATTAAAGGTGTCGATAGTCACCTTATCTATAATGGTCTGCGTGGATGTTAGATGCGCATAACGCGCTGAATACTGCAGGATAGAAGATGAAGGAAATTGATGCGTAGAGACTAAAGGCGATGCATTGTTGCTCCTTAAGAGCGAAGAATGGGACGCGCTATGCGCGGCGCGTTAGGCGTGATGCGAGAATGCGAAACTTGATGCGATAAGGAAAATACTTGGGAAGACGAATGCTTATGGGCTTCTCCCTGCGAATGCTGCAGATCATCGATACTTAAAAACCCTGTTCCTCCTCCTTGAGCGCGTGCGAGTGCGCATGACTCACGCACTTCGCGTCTCTTGCGAGCTGTCACTTGACCCAAGGTAGGGTTGGAATGCGCAATTCTTTGCACGCGTTAGGATCAGTCAGTATGAGATCCTGCTCTCTGTCGGGCAGATCAAATGTGCGACACGAGGTAAGCTTAAAGAATGGGCGCCCTAGTAAAACTTCAAAGGTCGCGCGCTCGATGACCTGGACTTGGAAGTATAAGGGTCCTGCGCCAAAATCAAGCGGGACGTTCTCTATGACTCCTAGTGTCGCGTCGCGTGACGTGTTCACTGATTCCATATTGAGGCTATGGTCCAACCTGAGTGGTATGCCGAGCTCTTTCCATACTTCCCTTGGCATGACTACTACTTCCGCGCCTTGATCTAAGACACAGGTGAGAGTGCGCCCTTCCAATGTCTTAGCGCAAATACAGCGCAGGGGCGCGAAGTGATCAGCGATGATTTTACCGTCGTCGCTTCGCATGCGCACATCCTCGTATTGCTTTAGCCATTGGTCGGTCGCGGGATGCCCTGATAATTCGTGCACCGATACTGCGCCTACTGTGACGTGCTTCTTGGTCGTAAGTTCGCGGAAGTGTTGGTGAACATCGGGAGATACAGCTAATAATTCCCTTACTGGGATATTGAGATTGGAATTGAGGAGGCGCTCGACAACGCGTTTGTCGGCCTCCTTGTCTTTGAGCGCGAATGCATAACGATATGATGGTGACTGTGCTGGTGCTTGGGTTGGTGTTGATGACGACGATGGTGGCAATGCTGAAGATTGGGATGGGGATGACAATGACGATGATACTGGCGTGGACGATGATGGTGTTGACGATGAGGGTGAGGCGCCCTTAGGAGGTGCCTTGGTGCTTGTTGGTGTGCTTATTGGCGCGCTTAACGGCGCTACTTTCGCTACCTCCTTTCCTTTACCTTTGTCAGACGAAGCTTGTATTTCGGGAGAGATTATCTCCTCCTCTACTGTGGCTTGCTTAGATGCAGGTCTCGGGCGCACGCGCATTTCGCTGGGTATTTCTACACCATCGAAGCGCACGTTTTTACCTTTGGCATTGCGCTTCTGGTCGCACCTTACAGCTACATAGGCTATCGCTTCAGTCATGAGATCCACCGTCTCGTCGTCCTCATCGAGTTCCGTTTGCGCGACTGTGTGCACGAACGCAGATGAGCCTACTTCAATTACCACGTCAATCTCGTCGGACGCGCGATAGAATAGTCCCGCTGTCGCGCCTGTACTGGTGGTCATATCCGGTGTCGCGCGACTTGCGTGATGTCGATCTAGTCGTTCCTTGAGTAATCCTCGGCCTGGAATCCAGTCGCCATTTGGCAAGACAAGCTTGCGCATCTCTTCGCTAACCTTACATTTACCCGCATCAATATACCTTTGTTTCTCTGCGCAACGAGGGTAGTAATGTTCGAGACTGCCACAAAAGGCACAGTCATTGAACATTGGCGCTTCGCGCTTATATTCGCGCTTGGTTACTGTACCTTGCGCGGGTGATTGCGCTGATGTGGTAGCTGTGACTAAGTTAGTGAATGACATTGCCGTAGGCGCACTAGGCGTCGCGCTAGCTGCAGGCGCATTCGCGGGCAAAACGAAATGTCCAGCTGTAAAGACGTCCATGAACAGGTATGGATCCTGCGGGTAGTGATCAGGAAATTTGATCATGAGGTGTGTGCGTATTAGCGCCTGAGTATCCTTGGGAATCCCTTCCATGAATATGTGATCGCGCTCGGCTTTACCAATGCGATCTTCTGCCAATAGCGGTTGCATGACCTTCTTGAATGCGCGAAGGTAGTTGCTTAACTCCTGGTACGAGGGCATCGTCTTGTTCGCGTATTCACACGCGATGGCTTGTAGATCCGAAAGCGTGTAGCGCCTTTTGCCATCCCATCCGGGATACATTACCTTGACTTCTTTCATGAACGCGTTGTAATCGCTTACTTGCGCCTCCGGCATTCCGCCCCATAATTCTCGGTCATCGCGCTCAAGGTAGCGGATGATACCCTTAATGCGATCGAGACCTTGTAGACCTACGTCGTCAGCGAGCTGCTCGTATAGGTCGATAAAGTCGGCGAGGTTGTCGGTTGTGCCATCAAATTTAGGCGCGTCCGTTGTTCCACGGACAGGCATTCTGGTTCTTACTGTGGACATGACGGGCGGTTGGGAAATTGCAGGCGTGGGGATCTTGTGACTGACAGGTGCTTGGCGCGCATACGCGAAAGGAAGGTTTGATATAACGGTACCGCCTGGAATTGAAAATGGCATGCGCGGTGTTTCTAAGGCTTCTTGCTTGATCTTAGGTATTCCCGTTGTAGGAAGCGCGTTCTCGCGCGCGGGGACTACTGGCGCGTTAAGTGGAGTGTCGCTAGAGTCGTCAAGCTCGGTTAGCGCGCTTAGCGCTGACAGATTAGAAGTATTAAAAGGAGGTTGATTGGGCGTGTGGAGGAATGCTCCGGGAAGTTGGCTCCTTGGGTTATCTATTGCTTCGAAGCCATCTGACGACTCTTCCTTGACGGATTCTTCAGGCGAGGGCATGACTGGCGATATCAGTTGTCTAGGCGCGTGCGCGAAGAGCGCTAGATCTGGTCGCGGAGGTTCTGATATATTGCGCGAGCGACCGCGCGTGTGTTGAATGAATAAGGGTCCTGGTATAATGGATTCTACCGCTCTGTCGAATGCGGCGATGGCTTCTTCTCTGGCTATGCGGCGACTGTTGGGTCTGAGGCGCCGACCTTCTATCTCAGAAGTGTCCCTCACCGTGGGCTCCAGTTGTAGATGAGGAATCTTGACTAGACGTGAAAACACTTAAAACAAAAGGGTGCTCAACAGCAAGACCGGGATACGAGACAACGACTCGACCCAAGGGACAACCACTGAGAGAAGTTCCTCGAAATAAAGTGGAGGGAAACTCTATGAGCTAGGCGGGCGCTAACAGGCACGAGAAGATAACGCGCACGTGAGCGGGAGGTTCGAGAATGTGCGCGCGCGAAGCGAAGGCGCACCTTGAGCGTTAAGGGAAAGGTCCTATTGAGGAGTGAATGCCCAGATGGATGATTGACAGGAGAATAAGATCTTATAACAAGTGAGGAGGTGATCTATACACTTTCCAGTACACAAAGATAAGGGGAAAGTAAATACCAGAACCAAAGGAAACCCTTCTGTATTTAAGAATGGAGATGGCGCGCTTCCGAGCGCGCTTCCGAGCGCGCTCCCGAACCGAGTAACCATATCAACTCTAATTATAACTAGGTTTAAATAAACTTTCTATAAGTAGCGCGGACGTCAGACCGAAGATTTTATTAGTTCAATGGATAAGATAGAAATAACGCACCAGCGAATCAGTAAGGACATGGGACGGATGGACGGACGATAGTGCGAAGACCTATGAGGAGGCACGCGAAGCGCGCATATAGCGCGTGCGTAGGTAAGGCGCGCCTAAGTGCGCGCGAGTTCGGATAAGGCGCGCGAGACTGGTACTTAGGAGTAGAGCTGTAACATATAGGAATGTATGGGTAAAGGCCGTATATTCGGCATTGAGACACGCGAGTCTCTACACCGGCATCGGCTAGAAGATACTTGTCTTCGGGCACACACAAATCATGAGAGCACGCGTCGTTCCAAAGGGAAGCATCGGCGACTGAGCCGTCCCACCCTGTGAGCGAGTAAATGAAAAAGAAGTCGAGGTCACAGATAAACAAGCAGTTCTGCAATAAAAGCCTTTCCTGTTGCGCAGGACAACATGGTCTTCAGGCGGTGCAAAAACGTGGATGTGGGTGCTGTCAACAGCACTGATACAGTGGTCGAAGAATTGGAATCGAGGGTCAGCGTGAATTGCCACAGAAAGTGGGGTGTTTTGGTCTGGGAAGCGGATGTTTGAGGTGTAGAAGGGAGCCGATGAAAAGAACATGAGCAGGTGTTTAAAATATCTGCAGAAATCAGCACAACTTGAACAATAGTTATATCAAAAGTTAGGGCCCATTCGGCAACCGGTTGTTTGCGTCCATTTTGTTTGTTTGTGTTCATTTGTGTCCATTTTCATTTGAAACGGCAAAATGTGTTCGGCAACATGTTCATTTCGTTAAGGGCCTGTCACGCTGCTGCATAATGCAGCGTCACACTAGTACTTGTTTGCTCTCTTATCAACTGAATATCTCACTGTCCCTACTCCATTTACTACTGTTACTACCCACCATGTGACCTAAGAAAATAGAACACTCTCTTTCATCTGATACCAGGGAGCCTGAGAACACCGCATATTCACTGAGCTCATGGAGCAATTGGCGGAATACTGGCTTAGATAGGCCCATCATATTATGAAAGCGATGGGGATGTCCTGATAAGAGCTCCCGAACCCATCCCTGCCCTATCAAGATAGAGTTGTGCTGGGGAATCTTGTTGATATAGGGCAAGGACCACAAGGTGGCCACAGCCACTGCAGCAGCTGAAAATGCAGCAGCTAGCACTGCAGCTCTCTTTCTGCGAGTGTGTGTTGCCTTAAGAGAGGTTTTAAGGGCCTTTCTTTTTTGTGATGATGAGGAGGTCATAGCTATAGAGCTCGAGTAGCAAACTGATGGTTATCATTCATTATCTGATGTAGTATCTGCAGGTTCGTGCGAGTGTGACAGTGTGTGACACCCGTGGGAGCGCTGTTTCACCTCAATGTCCGTTTGTTTCAAAACAAAATGGATGCAAACAAACGAAACGGACACAAACAACTGGTTGCCGAACGGGCCCTTAGCTTTGTCGTTTTATTCGAAATTCCGAGTCGAGCTTGTCATACAGGGATCCGCATTGCAAGTTGTTATCATTCGCTTACCCTCGTTAGTAGCATAGCATCTCGTTACCTTCGTTCTTTGTTTTCTATCTTCATTTCACTACCGCGCAACTCTAGTTTCCATCGAATCCAGCAGCGTCTGGGCCAATTCAAGCCATACCTCTACCGGACGCTCCTGTGGCCAAACCAGCAGCCAAACAGCCACGCTTCTCAGTAACGCCCAGCAGCTAATGCGGGTCCCGCACCAAGTCCCAACACAGCCTGAGCTACAGAGAGGAGTATTGACCCGCCAGCGGCAAACTCTTTGACAGCAGCGCCCATGCTATTCGCGTCACCTGAAGAGGTCGAGAGCCGCAGCTAAGAAGAAGGAAATCAAAGTTACCCTGCCGGATATCGTGTCAGGATTCAAAGCAAATCCTCTCGACGCTGGTGAGCATTGATATCTCCTTCTTGTCTCTGTGGGGAAACCGTATTGTTTTTGTTGCATGCACTCTACTCTCCCAAGTGAATGCACAGTTAACGCGGCTGAGATAAAGTTCAGCGATGTTGGAATAGAGCGGTAGGCTCTGTTGATAGAGGCAACACAATCATTATGTCAGGCTGTAGGCTGAGCGGCGCCGGTGAACGTTTAAGCCATAGGCCTACAGAGTGGCTCAAGCTATATGCTATTTCTATGCTCGTCAGAACTGGCCCACGCAGAAGGGGCAGCAGCAGCAGCACAACATACGAATGGCAATGAGGCTAGCAGTTCGACGCAAGCAGGTCGATCTCTGGGTTGTGCTGGATACAAGTGTCTCAAGGACCCCCGATAGAAATGCAACTAGGTCCATTTCTAATTGTCCCAGGCACACAAGTGTCTCGAGGGCAACAAACAGGAATGCAGGGCGCAGATGGTGGGACGGGATTCTTGTGAAGTTAGGTGCTGCGGATTTCGTTTTTAGTTGTGGTCGTCCTTACTCGCATCAGTCATGAGGTCATCCACTAATTAAACTGGTTGCTTCGATGTGTTTTCTCTTGAAGTCGTGAGCTTTACAGACTATTTCGCACATTGCCATACACTTCGTGAACATTGCGTTTGACTTGAGTCACCCAAGATTTTTTTCCTCTCTTGTACTTTTTACAAAGTATTTGACAGGTTGTGTTTTTACTTGTGATGATTTTCTCATGAAGAGACACCAGCGCTTTTTGTAACCTATATTGACAGTGTCAACCTACGACAGTTGACCTGACTGATGCTGGCTTGCACCCAATGAGAAAGGTAACAAAGGCTGCATATACATTCAAGTGCCAATTATAAGGCAAAACGTGCCTAATATTTGATGTACAGATTCAGTGCTGTAACACAAATCAAAAGAACCGCACTTACTCGGAAGTAGCTTCCCTTCAGTTGTGTCATAGGAACGGCGATGAAAAACAGGCCAATCACAAGCCTATAAAAACCGTCAGACTCTTCGAGTGCGTCAAGCGAAATCACTTGCGCTGTTTCAACACCAAACACCGTCAATGCTCCAGATTTTGTAGCCCATGGGACTTGGAAATATGCGACTGCGAAACCTAGGCCGCAATCGTGAACGTCGAAGAAATCATGCGCCGTTGTGACTCACCGCCCACTGATCTTGCAAAGTTTAAGAGGGCACTGACTTCGCCCTAGAGGGGAAGGATGTGTCACTGAAATGCAAATAAATATGTATATATGCGTCACTCACTGCCCTGCGAGGGAAGCAGTCATTGCAATATGCGTCTAATGATATTCCTTGAGTTTTCCCATGACACTCGAAGTATTGGATCCGAGACTTACACACTGCAACAGTGTTGAGGGTGATTGCAACAAATGCAATGCCCCAGCCTATGATGAGAGCGGCTTTGTTGAGATGTTGTATCCCAGCACCCAGCGTCAAAAAGCCACAAATATAAAGCGGCATGGCTAAGTAACAGGTCCTACACAAATTCTCAGCTCTAACCTTAGATCATCAGTTGAGTTTGCATACCACAAGCGGCTCTCGGGCTCGAAGAAACCACCGTTTTTACGAATATGCAGATACATGATGAATTCATTAACGTAACGTCCAATAATCTCGCCAAGAAGGACGGCGACCTAAAAATTCCATGCTCAGAACAGTAATCATGCATACTTCATAGACGGAAAAAACTTGCAATTGGAGTCGCATACGCTCCAGCCACGGCATATTGGCTAAAGCCAAATCCGACAGGAGGAGGAGATCCCATGAAGACAACATTTGTCGTCTACAGAAGTTGGTAAGTTTATTACTGCAGGTCGAGACGAAAACACCCACGTTCACACCGATTGAGAACCCGAAAACCAATGCCTTTAAAAAAGGTCAGCAAATGTACCAAGTATGGTCAGCAATACAATTTATCTCACCTCAAAGAGAACTACGAAGAAAAACTGAGGACGCCAAGCGACATCCAAAGGTGCCAATATAACTTCCGGCCATCGTGGTCTGTATTTTGCCATCTTGTACCCAGTGACGCCTATCAAAGTTTTAAATCGATATCGCAGTCCCGTAGAAATTTGCAGTGGCTTGGATGCAAGGTGACGATCATACATACTGGTTCAGCAAAAGTCAACGCCACTATCTTATGAAGAAACAGTATGTCAGAACGTACGTTTCTTCCATAAAAAACGCAATGAGAACTAATACGATGGCGTTGTATATAGATCCTATAGCATAGGCCCATCTCCAGCTATCCAAATATTGATGAGTATCCTGAATCAAGGATAGTATATGTAAGACGTACCTCGCACGCGCTACAAGAAAGCCAAATACAAATGGTGATAAGAAAGGCGATCTATGAGATAGTGAGAAATGTTTCTCCCAAATTGAAAAGGATTCATTCTCTGACATCACAAAACCCGAGGTCCAGATGTTCAGCTTCCGTGCTTGAAGATGGAAGGGGAAGATATCCGTCACGACATAAAGTCCCTTGGAGGTTGGTGAATGACAAAGCTATCACGAGAATTGTTACTAATCATACTGTCACCTGGGGACACGTTCTGAGACTGTAGTCAGTTTGGCGCAGCCATGAAAAAATGACGACCTGCCCAAAAAATCCACTCAGGCAACGCATCCCTTCATCAAAGGTTAACAATGTCCAAAAATACCGAATTATTGTGTAAATACCTGCGAAGGTGGCTAGATTCGGCGCCAGTGTGGCACCAACTAAGAATGCAAGTGCAAAAAGCTGCGCTCAAGTTTTCAGGGTTCATATCGGCCAAATCACTGGAAATATATACCTGACTCCAGAAGAGTACTGGCAACCGACCATACCGTCTCACGAGCATGACCCAGAAGATGCCTCCCCAACCTGGACTACAGATGAGAAGAGGCTATTCTCATGTAATGATGTGATCTCACCCAGAAGGAAGATGCCCCAGCTTCAGGAAATTGTCATTGAAAGTGAGTAGCGATTGAAGCATCACGCACTTTGACGTCCGATCGTTGATGACACCCGAGGTCGTGTCATAAGTTTGAGCGAGGCTAAATATCGACGCGATTCCTGCCAATAAAAGTATTTCACAATGGCACTACTATGGTTATTGAGCGAAGGCGAGATACATACCAATTCCACCGTCGAAGTCAGGTACCACTCCAGACATTGTAATGATTATCAGGTGCACAGTCTTACGAAAATCGGTCCACTACAAATGAATAGCTTAGTGTTAGTAAAAGGGACACGATAGTGAGATGACGAACATTTTGCGGGTCGTTCGGGTCGTTCGGGTCGTCAGCGGGTTGAGGCCAGAGAACCTTTAACCCATCAGGACTAAGCTTGAGCCTAGAGGCCATTACCTCCCCAAACTCAACCTTCGCCTGTCTAGTGAGTGACGAATGAGTAACGATGGACTCAGGAGCAACAACCACATACTCGGGGTCAACTACTAAACGGCCAGTAGTCTGCTCATAATAAGCGACAAAATCCACCTCATCGATAACATCGACTTTGATTGAGTCATCTGCCTTCGTTTCTGACTGCAGCTGCTGGGATCTAACATCTTCTAGAGCCATTGGGTGAGAGTTGGGAAGCGAATATCATCACTTGATGCCCGTTATCAATTTAAAGCACAGTACTTACGATGAGACCGTATCTCTTTTGATTTCAGGGGAGCGCAGATTGTGAGGCCTTGCCAGAGTTAAAACCATCGTTTTACGATCCCTGTTCAATATAGTCTTCGAGTTGGACGAGCTGTATTTAGCATAAATTTACTAGACCGAAAATGTAGGCACAACAATTCCAACAAGCGAGGAAGAGATCAGCATGAAATCAGTTTAAATCTACTGCTGCTGATAGGGGAACTCACAGTTAGTGTTATGGGCAGAAGGTAGTTCTACCGGGGTCCGGCAGAACTGTGTTCTGGAGTCAGCGTGGCAGCATCACGCAACTGAGAGATTAGTACTTACCCGATATGGACGGTAGGGTGAACATATAGACCAAACAAGTCCGCGTGATGTCAATGTAAGTTTGATGTAAGTAGATGCTTCTTGTATCTACATCACATTTTTTTGTTGCGTGCACCCTACTCTCCCAAGTGAATGCACAGTCAACGCGGCTGAGATCAAGTCCAGCGATGTTGGAATAGAGCGGCGGGCTTTGTTGCTAGAGGCAACACCATCATTACTCTGGCCGTAGGCTGAGCGGTGCCGGTGATCAAATGTTCAAGCCATA